AGGTGATGTTCAAGTAATTCAGTCAATTATTGGTTATGGTATTGAAAGAGAAGAATTAAGAGATGAGATATTAGTGCAGTTAGTTCGTCAGTCCACTAATAATCCATGTCGTGAATCTTTATTAAGAGCTTGGCTTGTATTATGTTTGTGTGTGGTAGCATTCCATCCAAGCAAGACTTTTAGTCGTGTAAGCTTTTTTAATAATAATTGTTTTTGAGTTTATTTCTGTCATTTTTAAAAAAGTATTAATAATTAAACATGTTTATTATAATATAAAAACTTTTTCAGTATTTTCACTGTTTTCTTCGTAAAAATCTTCGTGAAGATAGATGTATTGCTAGATATGCTCAATGGTGCTTAGATAATCTTCATAGTACCAAAGTTACTGTTAGAAAAATGCATCCATCATCTTTAGAGATTAATGTAAGTTAAAAATTTTGTAATTAGGTTTGTTTTTGAGATTATCAGATTATGATTTCATCAGAAAAATGTTTATTTTTTAAAAATTATAACTGAATACCAATTATTTAACTATTCAAATATTTCTGAAGCTAATGTCTTTCATTTATGTATGTCAGAATATACATAAATTTAAAGCCTAAATTTTCTAATATTTGAATAACCTAAAAGGATTTTGTANTCATTGTTTAAATCCGATCTTTAAGTTCGCTCTTTCGCACTACGAAACTTGACTCATTTAAAACGTCGTTATTGGCCTGCTTTCGGACCCCGTTTGGGTCCTCACATAGCCGTCAAGGGCAATCGTGTGGCAGTGGTGAAGGATGAATATATCTGCAAAATTCTTTTGTGGATATCGCCAAAAACTGCCACAAAAAAAAAATTCATATAAAAAAGGAATTATGTAACAATAAAAAAAGACTTTTCTTTATTAGACATAACTGTTTACAAAATCCTTTTCTGAAATGGTAATGAGAAAAAACATATGGAAAAATACTTTAAAAATTTCCCACATTTATTCTCCACTACATAGGGATAGCACCATACGTGACTAACCCAGAAGTTAGTCTGGTATGGTGAAAGGTTAAGAAAGGTTAAGAAGACTTAAGTTTAATTATTGTTAAGCACTTTTGATCTATCATCTTTCACATTATTTTTTTTATATTATGATGATTACAAATTAACATTTTAGTGGCAAAATATGCTTACAGAAGCCTGAATTTAAGATCAAAATTTATCAAAAAACATTAAAAATTGATTGGCTATAATTTATCAGTCAGTAATATGGATATGTGTGACAGTGATGACCAACTCTACACACCTAGATATAGTGGATGAAAATAAAGCTAATGAGTGAATATGTATTAGCAGAAAATATCAAAAAGTTGTGAAAAATAACATAACTTTTCATATTTTTACTGTATGAAGCACTTTTCGTACTATTTTGCACATTCATATTAATATTTTATTTTCATATAATGCAGCTGTTTCTATTTGTTAGATTTGCTGAATTAGTAAATCAAAAAATAAGTTTTAGATAGTTACAGATAACTTGGATTATGTAACATTCTCATGTAGGATGGAAGTTTGTTTGGTGTGAAACATAGCCAAATTTGTTATAACTATATTGTAAAAATTTGTGTGTAATGATTGTGATTTTCATATTTGAATTTGAAAAAACTGCTACTGTGTAACTCATCTTTTTAAAGTTAAATGCAGGTAAAGTGCAACCTTGATTTAACAAACTAATTTTGGCAAGGGATTGTTCATTGAAGCTGAAAGTCTGTTATATAATAATATAGGTTTTCCGAATTAATTTGTTAAAAAAATTGACAAATTAGTTAGTTTATCTGATTTTACTTATGTAGATACGTTTGTGAAATTAAAATTAAGTATGTATGAGAAGTTTAATTTCACAGAAAAGTTTACTATGTATTATTGCTTATGGACTCATCATATTACTAAGACTGTAATAAAGAAGTATATAATATAAATTGAAATAAATAAGCAATCATTTTGGAAAATACACTTTATGAGCAGTGACTACGGATACGAAATTAATCCGTTCCGAAACTGAGATTGTATCATGAAAATGTCATAAGGTGAATCATTTTTCCCCCATACGATTACATGTAAAACCAAATAATTTGTTCCAACACGAAAAACACACTCAAATTAAAGCTAAGTGTGAAGTGAGGGGTAGAGCGGTGAGATTCTCCCCACTTATCGGCTTCGTTGTCAGGGATGGCAATGGTTAAGTGAGTGGGAGGGGTAGTGAAGTTGTGACGAGGTGTTGGTCACACTCAAAGATGACACAATATTAAAATTAAGAATAACATATTTAATTTATAACAAACGATACAAATACAGGCAAGTACATTTGAAACTAAAACAAGAGGAGAATAATAATGATAATAATAATAATATTTCTGCATCGCGACAATATAGATGGCTGCTGTCTGTCTTTCCTGTCGGCGGGACCGTCGAAGGTCCGCTACCCGTGAGTTTACTGAGAACTAATCTAAAACCGAGAAAGAGAGAAGTAAAAAATTTTCCAAGTCTGTACCTCGTTTGCAGTAGTGATCAGAAACTGCGAAGATCTCAAGAGGAGAGCAGACTTGAGGAGTCCAGTCCTTGGGCTTTTTCCCGGCAATCGCTCAGAGGTGCGGGAGCGATCCCCTTTTACACACGGTTAGCGTGGGAAATATCTGGGGATTTCCTGATGTAATTGTCTTTGCTGCGTTTGTTGTTTACTTTAATTTTGACAGTTCTTCAGAGTTATTATCATCTCTCCCATCATGGTGACGCAGTTATGACCACCGTCGTCACTTCTCTCGACCAGTTAGCATTAAAGTAGTCATCACTTGGGGTAATGACTGTCCATCTTCGGTAATGTGATATGGTTTCTCACCGTGCGATCTACCCTTACAGGTGACCTTTTTGGTTATCCTCTAGACCAGGGGTTGCCAAACTGTTTTGATCGTTGACCCCCTACAACTTTTCGTAACCTTACATCGATCTACACCAAAAACTTTGTTACAAGCAAAAAAAAAAGCGCTTACTGTTTTAATATATATCTTTTAATTTTACATTTTTTACATTTATTGTACAGTACTGTACTGTATATATGTTAATAATAATTTTTGTAACTGACAATCAATAAGATGGATAAGCTTGATAATCCTTAGCAAGATTAGCAATATTCAGTTCAAAGTTTGTAAGTTTTAGTCTTTTCATCGACTTCCCCAATAATGTTATATCGACCCCTGGGGGTCGATATAGACCACTTTGGCGATCCCTGCTCTAGACAGTAACATGTGTTTGTTGTCGCTAATTGGCTCTTTACTTGAATATTGCAGCTACCTTAGAATATAATAATCCCCTGTGTGAGGGGAGTCCTTCTTCGGTCGTTTAGGACGACTTTGAGCATCTAGGAGGTCACCTTTCGGAGTGACGCAGTACATTGAGGGGTCAAAAGGTCCAGTTCCTGGCCAAAGGGGTGAAAATGGGAGAAATAAGGGAAATAATGATGAAAGAAAAATTTTATACAAATTTTAGCATTTAAAACTCCCAAAAGAGAGTCTGATTTCTCACATAAGTAGTTCATAAAGTCTTTTTATGAAGTTATTAAAACTGAAAAACCAATTCCTGTAAAAAGTATTTATATTTAATTTTACACATTTAATGTATGGGGGTGATTTTTTTATTAACTAAAAATAGCAAAAAGCTAATTAACTGAAGAAAGGACAAACATGTAACAACTCTTGTCAAATTTTAGGGGGAGGAAAAAGCTAAATTTTTACAATCACTAGCTAATGCTGAAGATTTATGAAATGAAATTCCTATTTGATTTAATAATTTTAATAACTTCAGCTATCTTCTCAAACCAAACAAACTTTTGTGTTATATGTTAATGTTTCACAATTCAGGTTATTTGCAACTACCTATAACAGATTTTGATTTACTAATTTAGAAAATCCAAAACAAATAGCTGCATTACCTGAGAATAAAATTTTAACATAAATATATAAAAACTAATTAGAAAATTACCTTATATTTATTTATTATTTTTTTTATTTAATAGTATTTAATAGGGAAACCCTGTATGTATGGGTGTATTACAACAAAAAAAGACATTACAGTCATCAATATCAATTCCAAGCCAAATACATTATTATTAACAGTACAGCACATAATAATAAACCTGCTAAGAAAAGAAAAAAGCAGTACAATATTAATGACAATAATAAACAAAACCAACAACAATAATAATTATATCCACAAAGAAATAAAAATACACACAAAAATGGCAGTGAATAGTCAATGCAAACAAAAATTCTATAAAATTATATAGAAAGAAAAATTAAACAATTACCTTAATAATTTAAATAAATTATTAATTATATGCCCAAAAATGCTGCCAACTCTCAAGTACTTAAACATCTACTAATATACTATATCCACATCTGGTGGTTAAACTTCTGAAAAAATAATATCTTAAATTAGTTTTCATTAGCTGTTTATCTTAATAATAAGATTATAAACACAGTCATATTTATTTTAATCTTGTAACAATTGCTTATATGATTGAACCAATAAATAATCTGAACCAAAACAGGGAAACTCTGTATGTATGGGTGTATTACGCCAAAAAAAGACATTACAGCCATCAATATCAATTCCAAGCCAATTCCAGTTACAGCCTTATATAGTAAAAATATGAGAAATCACTTTATTATGCATATTGCTAATACATAATATTCATCCATTAGCTTTGTTTTCACCTAGTACATCCAGGCATGTATTACTTGATGTTGCTATTAAACATATTTGTAATTTAGACATTACAACAATTTTATATGATTTAATCTAATAATTTTGTTTTGAATTGCAATTATTGTATTGTATGATAATGAAATGTTAAAATACTTTGCATATTTTAATCCTATCTTATTTTAATTTACCTTTGAGATGTTTAATATTTGTTAATTAAATCAATAGTAATAATAGTAAGTTTATGCTAATTTTTTGGAAATGATTAGGCCTATGTTCGAGGTATGTTTGCTCGTGAAGTAGCAAATGCACTCAGAGAGATGAGAAGGGTTGAAGCTGAAATGAGAAGAAAAGAACAAGAAGAAGAAGAAAAGAAAAGGTTGGAAGCTGAAAAACAAGAAATGGAAGAACAAGAACGACAAGCTTTAGAAGAATCAATTAGGTATGTCTTCAGTTTATATTCTTAAAAATTTTTTTTCCTAACTGCTTTTGTTGTCTGTTATCTTAACTTTAAAATATTAATATTAATATGCATGCAGCAATCAGACTGAAAAAGAAAGTGGGTAAGTTATATTAATTAATTTTACAATTTCTATTAAAATTGTAATGTCTCAATAGCATTTCTATTATTATTCAGATTAATAAAAACAAAACTCAGAGAAATAGTATTAAAAAAGGTAATTTAAACAGTTCTAAAATTAGTATGTAGTAATGTATGAAGAGATTTGAACTCTTTTGCAATTAAATGATTCAAATTTTTCTTCCTCGAAGGGAATCTTTAAATAAGGTTGAAAGCATTGTGAAATAAAATAGTGTGCTAGAATTATAAGGTGTAATTTATTAATAAATATATATTGTTTCCAATTAAGTGAATTCATTATATATGTAAAAGTGAATTGTAGCTATTATCAGATAAGATACTCCAAACATGGCTATCAAAGAATTGGATAATTGATCATGTCCAATGTAAAATAAGTTGTTTTATTTACAGAGTTATGTTTTTATTATTAATATTTTTGTAATACAATGTGTATAGGACTTATTTTTAAAATATTTTTTGTTAGTGCTACTCAACAAGAATTAGCAGCCATTGCTACATTAGTGGAACAAAATGTCCGTAGAGCACAGGAAGCATCAGAATGCCTTGATCTGGATGAAATGTTTTCATTTCTTAGTGATGTTCAAGAAGCACGACCTAATGTTCAGGAATTTGTAACTGAAATAGGACAACAAATGGAAGCGTTGCTGCAAGATGTTGAAACAACAGAAGCTGAAGAGGTGGATATATTATGAAATAGATTATTTATTTATTTGAATTTTTAACAAAATTATTTAAGAAATATGTTATTTATAAATTTAACATAAATTAATTTTTAAAGCATTGAAGAAATATCAAATTATTTTAAAAAACAGTATTTTACAAAAGTTATTTAACAAATTCTTCAAGTTCCTCTCCAAGTCAGATTTTTATTTTTTTAGAGTTTTCTAAATTAATTAATTAACCATTTTAGTACAAAATAGCACTTAACATAGTATTACTTCTATTACCAAATTATAATTAATTAATTAGTGTGTAAAAATATCCCTATAAATTTGATGATTTTTTGGCTTTTTTGATTCTGTTCTTATTACACATTCTTTTACAACACAAAACTTTATATGAATTATTTAAAAGTTACTGGGTGTTGTAAAAAATAATATATAGAAATTTTTTAACACACCTAAATTAAGCAGATATCTGTTTATTAATTAGTTATATATATTTTTACAATACAGTTTACAAATTTGTAACTGATCTTTTTGTTTGTTTAATGATAGAATATGCCAATAATTTTTACACTAAAGATAGATGCAATTATTAAATTGCTAGAATTTAGCATATATCTTTGAAAACATGGGCTAAATCTGATCTAAAAAAATTGATACAATCTGCCATTAAATAAATAAAAGCCAATATTTTATGTCTTAATTATTTAAAAATTAAACTGATTTTTAAAATTTAAGATGTAATTTTCTTGCATTTCATTTTCAATAAGTTTCTGTTTTATTTAATTATATTTTACACTTAAAAATATTTATATTTAAATCAAATTCCACTTATTTAAACTATATTTTTAAATACATTTTATTTTTAATCTATAATTTAATTATTTTTAATCTATAATTTATTGGATATTTTTTAGGAAGAAAGTTGTATTTCTTCTGATGTTCAGAGTGTAACTCCAGAGCCATCTCCAAGTCCTCTTCCTCCACCAAGTCCAAGTCCACTTGCTACAAGTCCTTCTTATTCTCCTTGTCCAGAGAGTGTTGCTTCTGACAGAATTTTATCTCCTTCACCGCTTCCTCCTCCTACCTCTCCAGTTAATATAATGAATGGAGATGTCAGAAAAACCCCTTCTCCTATAAAAACTATAGTCAACCATTCAAATATAAAATCACCAACTCCATCAACAGTTACCTGTCTCAAAGAAGAAAAAATTTATTCAAAAGGTGTTTTGGTATGTAGATCCTTGTATATTTTATTTTCTATAATTACAATAAATTTCTGAATTTTCTCTTTAGCACAAAACTTAATCACTCTACTTCTGCTAGTACTATTTTTAATACTATTCAATTAAAATAACAGAAATGTAACTTGAAAATAAAATGGCTACTTAAATTATGTACTTATTACATGCTTGTAAACAAAATCTAACAGAGTGCATATAATTTTTTTATTTGATCTTTTAAAATTTTTCAAAAATTTGTATATATTATTATAATTTTAGGATTCTCAAGATGTTAAACTAGATAATAATCATTTGAATAATGTTGAACCAGAAGAAGTTGAACGTGAACAAAGGTATGAAATAATAATTTATTATTTTTTTGGCAGTATATTAAGATAAAGAGCAAAATAAGCATAAAGTGTCATAGTGCATGACATTTTATGCTTATTTTACTCTTTGGCCCTTTGGCCTTTATGTGGTGCAGCCAGCAAACAGTGGAGCAGCCTTTGTAAACAGAAGCTCTGCCTTCTGTTTACAAAGTTCACATTCTTATTTTTCTTAAGATACTTCCAGATTGTTTCAAGAAATATATTCATCAGAAATTCCTTTAATAATCTTGTAGACAAACCATGATTTGTAGCTAACTTCACTAAATGACATACATTTTTGGAAGGTTAATGCTGTACTTTCTGCAATTTATGTCATTTTCTTCCTTCCATTTTGTTTTTGTGATGATTATTTTAATTTTCTTGGATTTCACTTTACACTACACTTTTTGAGCATTTTAAAAGACAGGTATCCCTCAGATAATATGGTAGTTAAATTTCAAAAGAAATACCGTATTATGTGAATCCTTGCTATACGAAACAAAAGACTAGTTCAAAACATAGCGTTAGGTTCCAAAAGTTAACAAAAGTATACTATTTTTTATGTTACTAAAAGAAATATGTTTATTAATTAAGCAATCAATAACTAACAATCACAATTAAAAATACTGTATTATGTGTTAATATTAATTTTAGTTAAACGAGGGCATTTTCTTTTGACAAAGTATTGTCATCATCTCAGCTTTTTTGTTGACCTTGATCAGAAATATCACTAACATTTTCATTTTTTTTTTATTTTTAACATAAAATTTTTTTATGGATGACAAATTTAAAATAAAAATGTTATTTATTGAAAATTTGTTATAGTGGTCACATTTGTTCAGTTGAGTATCAGGCGATTTTTTTTTAATTTTACAGAATTTGGGTTTGAATATCGAATTGTCTGTGTTTGAGTATCAAGATTCTGCTGTACTTTATTTGTCATTTTTACAAATAAGTACTTACTTATGGTTAAAAAAAGTTTAGTAACACTTTTTGAGTACCTACATGTTTAATATTCATATTTAATGAAGTTTATCTAATCTATAAAAACAAAATACAGTTTTAGTCTTAAGGACTAAAGTCTGAAAGCAACCGCAACAACACCTGGTTGATAGGAAAGTCAGGACAAGGAAGAAAAAAATTGCACTATTAGTTTTCATTAAGGTAAACCTGATGAAAGGCACAAAACAAAATGAAAATTTCAATATTCCAAAATCTGTAGGCAAATTTCAGACAACACACATGCTTGCTTGAAAAAAAAATTGAATAACAGGGTTGGCACTTAAAAGTTGTGAAATTTTATATGGACATGTTAGAACCGTGTCAGAACAAAACTGATGTATAGGGAATTTTCCCAATTTTTGAATTGTGTTAGTGCAAAACCATGTAGTAGAAATACCATGTTGTACAGGGAATACCTGAAGTTTTTATTTGTGTAAATGAGTGAACAAAATATTTTTCACACCTTCTGCTCAATGGTAGATTCAGAAGTACCTAAAATGGGGCAGGCCAACTTAAAAATTAAAAATATTTGAATAATTAATAAGTAGAGATGCTTACTGATATCTATCCAACACTGATATGTTGTCATTTTGAAATTTTCCAGATATCAGAATTAGTTTGTTTTACAAACTTATGCTTTTTTTGATAGTTGCTATCAAAAAACATGAAAGAAAGAGATCAGAGCATTGATTTGTTTTACAAATCAATACCAATATATCAGGAATACTCTGATATTGGTTATCATCTCTAGAAACATTCAGAAAAGAAAAAAGAGAGATCAGACATCTGTTTGTAAAATGAACTGATTTCAATATATCAGGAACATTTCAGTATTCTGATATATCAGTATCAGATTACTAATAGTTTGGTATCAGTTACATCTCTATTAATGAGAATTAACATGTGCACAATAATTGTATTATGTATAATGCAATAAATCATATTTGCCGTCATAAATGTTTTTAAAAAGTGTTTTGAAATTTGAACAAAAAAATTAAAATGTGTAGCAGTCCTTCTGTATATGTCACTGCTTTTGCACATTTAACTGGTTTTTTGAGGAATTTTGACTTTGTATGTACCTAGACTTCATTCACATTCACTTGATATATTATTATTTTATATTATAGCATAATGATATCTGCATTTACATATACACAAATATCTCTTCTAGTAGCAATATCTTTCAACAAGTATCCTTATAATACAACTTACTTTTGACTCGAAACCAAAACAGTGCTTATTTATTGTATATTTTACAGTGTGTATAGATGAGACTATTTATCCTTATAATATTTTTATAATTAAATATATTCTACATGGATTTAAGATTTTTTTTTGCTATTTTTGTTTTAAGCTGAGTATAGCATGTTGAAAAGTAAAAAGTACAAGTACAGTATTTTGATTCCTAAATTATATATAAAATTAATTTTTACTGTGTCTTTTATTAATGATAGATTTTCATTGATTAGTCATTTACTTCTAAAATTTTGTTAAGGGATGGTTAATAAAAATTCTTGTTTAATGTTGTTCAACAGAAGAAAATATCAAGTTCAAATATTTATGTTGAGCTTATATAAATATTCATTAGTTATTTAATATTTTAACTATAAAGATATTGAATGTAATGAAAAGGATTCAGATTAAATTGTTAGATAAGATGGAATCAGTTAACTTGAACGTATAATATATATTTATAATAGATAAATTTTTACTATTATTAATTGAAATTATTGGAATTATAAATAAAGTTAATTAACGTATATTAAAAAATATACTTTTATCGTTTATAATAATAAATTTTTGGATTCATAGACGAAAATTAAGAATTGAGAAAAGGTTAATTGAAATTGAAGCAGAAGAACAGAGACTATATGAAGAAGAAGATGATTATCATTATGATATGATTCAGTTTGCTGAAAAATATTTTAATTGTCATGTTCGAGATATGGGTGGAACTGTTATGAGGACATTAACTAGACGAAGGAAATCTTCAGGTGAAGTTATGCCAAAATATGAAATGGTTACTCATACTCGTAACAGTGCAATTCCTACTTCTCATATACATATGTATGATCCAGAAAATATTACAATTGCATGTACAATTTTCAAGGTAAATAAATAAATTTATCCAATTCATAACTAATGCACTTTGTAGAGATATATTTAATTTTTCATCATAATTTTAAACTGATTTAAAATGTTTAAATTTTTTTAGGATCTTAGTAAATATTTACGTGGTGAATTAAAGCCTGAAGGTGATGTTCAAGTAATTCAGTCAATTATTGGTTATGGTATTGAAAGAGAAGAATTAAGAGATGAGATATTAGTGCAGTTAGTTCGTCAGTCCACTAATAATCCATGTCGTGAATCTTTATTAAGAGCTTGGCTTGTATTATGTTTGTGTGTGGTAGCATTCCATCCAAGCAAGACTTTTAGTCGTGTAAGCTTTTTTAATAATAATTGTTTTTGAGTTTATTTCTGTCATTTTTAAAAAAGTATTAATAATTAAACATGTTTATTATAATATAAAAACTTTTTCAGTATTTTCACTGTTTTCTTCGTAAAAATCTTCGTGAAGATAGATGTATTGCTAGATATGCTCAATGGTGCTTAGATAATCTTCATAGTACCAAAGTTACTGTTAGAAAAATGCATCCATCATCTTTAGAGATTAATGTAAGTTAAAAATTTTGTAATTAGGTTTGTTTTTGAGATTATCAGATTATGATTTCATCAGAAAAATGTTTATTTTTTAAAAATTATAACTGAATACCAATTATTTAACTATTCAAATATTTCTGAAGCTAATGTCTTTCATTTATGTATGTCAGAATATACATAAATTTAAAGCCTAAATTTTCTAATATTTGAATAACCTAAAAGGATTTTGTAAGTATTTTTGAAATAAATTTTTTACTATTAATTTATTTCTAATACTTTTGTATAGATTAAAATAATTATACAATAAATTATTAAGTTAACTAATGTTGAACATTTTCAGCATTTATTATTTTTACAATGGCTTTTCATATTAATAATACCTACTCTCTCATAAATGATGTCAGTATTTTATTTTAATATTAATTATTAATATTAATATTAATACGGTCTTAGAATGGCATCAAACCAGGTTGAGGTTAATAGGCTTGGGGATCTCTACAATTACAATTCGATTAAGTACTTCTGAAAAATCCTGAAGAGAGAAAAGCAATCAATGTTAGACAGATTCTTTAACCCCCACAAACGGAAAAACATGACTAATAAAAATGCAACACTGTGTATATATGTATTTTTATTATTACATATAAATAAACATAGTAAGAAAGTATAAATTTTTTATCTTTTTGGGTCTCCAGAACGAATTAATCAAATACCCATAAAAATCTATGGTTATATCTCTACCTGCATTACTATAATCAATTAATAAACTCCAAATACCTTTAAAATGCAGTCTATTTTAAAAACTTATCAAACGTTTTCGGTCAAATTAACAGACCTTCTTCAGGATTGAACTAACAGAATTTAAATTTGCCAAACGGAAATTCCAGTAGACAGGAGGCTGGTTCCAGGTGTGTACAGTATACCGTTGCATGATAAGAGGCTGAAAAAGGAGCCATATTATATAGGAGCCACAAAGAGATTGTTAAATGAAAGATTGAAAGAGCACGAAAAGAATATAAGATTTAAACAACCAGTCATGGCTTTGGCTAATTATGCAATCACAGATCCAACAGAGATTGCAATCAAATGGAGCAAGGCAGATGTCATACAAAAGGTTGAAAATAGAAGACATCTAAAGTATGCAGAAGCCTGGCACATTTATAAATACAGGGAAAAAGGGCAAAATATAAATTTTCGAGAATCAAACAAAATAGCATCAGCATGGAAAGCGGCGGCGTTACAATTATAAAGAAAAAATGGACTTGCGCAATTGAATCTGAGAAGATTGTAGAATGTACGTTTTGGAATTTCCGTTTGGCAAATTTAAATTCTGTTAGTTCAATCCTGAAGAAAGTCTGTTAATTTGACCGAAAACGTTTGATAAGTTTTTAAAATAGACTGCATTTTAAAGGTATTTGGAGTTTATTAATTGAAAAATCTATGGTAAATTGATAATTGGTTAGCGAACACAATCTTGGAACAGATTATGTTTGTTAACCGATCATCCACTGTATTATATCTGACAAAGTTAGAATTACTGAACAATACATCTTTTTATTATTAGCTAAGATTTACAAGATGAATTTTGAGTCAACAGCATCCTTAATCTGTAATTTTGAAAAGGAAAATTATAAATAGATTTTAATGATGAATTTTTTATAAAGTATGACTGTATTAAAATGAAAACATTCTTACACACTTTAACATTACAAGAAATTTTTCGATTCATCAAATTCTTTTAATTAGATATATATTTTTTATCAACAATAATTACTTCAAGTTTATCCCCAGCATCTCTCGATCAAGCAAGAAATGCTGAGGATATTATTTACTTTAAAAACATTATCCTGTGGGATTTCCTTTATTAACATTCTTAGCTGAAATGATGAGGGAATTTAAAATCTTTCATTTAACCCTTACAACTGGATTTACTTTCTTATATTTAAGATGTGTTAAATATAAACATTCAATAACTTGATGTTTTTTGTTTAATGTCAAATGATTGCTGGATTACATTGGGCTATAATAATAATTAATTAATTATAATTATTAAATTTATCAAGAAATAGTGCCTAATGCCTATCTCTAGGCACAATTACTTAATAATTAATAGTATTATTACTGTACAAAGTAATTGCTTGATGTCATCTGGCAGTCATTTGTCATTAAGATATGTTAATTGGATGTTTCTGCTGTGCTTACTCTAAAGTCTTTTTTTGTTTGTTTTTATGATTTTGCATTATATTTTTCTTATTTACATCTTTACCTTCCTTGTATTTTGTCTGGATATGCATGTTTTCATTGGCAGTAGTCTTGCAAATCATCATCTATGGTGATTTTGACGTAAAATTGACTCTCAAAATAAAGGTAAGAGCAATGATATTATTGATGGATCTGCATTTCCAGAAAAAAGATAAATGTGGTCACATTATCCTGATGCTGTGTATGATGATAATGTATCAAAAGTAATGAAGAAAGAATTTTTACTGCTATTATAAGTTTAAAGTGACAATTTAAGGCTCAAATTTATTTATAATTCTCAAGATCTTACATACACACACAGTGAAAGAAGAAAGGCTGTACTCAATGGTGTAGTCTTAAAAGATAAGAAAGATGCATAAAGGAAGGAGAGAGAGTGATTTGAGGAAAGTTGGAAAGGTGGGATAGTGATAGTTGGAGGTTTGAAAGTGGAAGGGTGAGGACATGAGCCACAAGGGGGACTGTTGGATAAGATAAGGATAAACATTATTTCACATATGCAGAACAATTTGTATTTACAAGGAAGAAGTCATAAGAGTAATACTTTGAGAAGTAGGACAGATGAAGCAACCTTGATAAAAGTTAGCAAAAAAAGGGTGGCACTGAGAATAAGTCCCCTTTTGGGGGTCACTGTTGGCCCAGAAGACAAGCTATTCATTAGGTGCTGCTTGGGCTGGTAGTGTATAGTCTGTTAGTTTCAGGTGTCTCATGAAGGTCTTGAATTCTTGATAGATGATCTGGTCCTCTATAAAGGCCAAAGATACCCTCATTCCACAATAGCCTTACAAAGGTTTGCATGGTGATGTGAATGAACCACAAACTGTTCCCCTTCCTCAAGAACCTATAGAGGTAGGCTCTGAAGTTGCCGTGTGCTGTTAGTATTTGGGTCACGACATGATTGGTGATAAAATGACTGTTGCTGATCCTGCGAGAGATGCTGGGGATAAAGTTGTGGGTGAGACGTCCTGTCAGGCTCCCATCCAACTCCGTCTGCCAACAAGATGTTAGAATAGAGTCCAGCTTACCTTGAACCCAGGACAGGGGATCAAGGAGTAGCTTCACACAGTGGATAAAGAGGAGGCCTTTTTGGCCAGATTATCTGCCTTGTCATTGCCATTGCTTCTTGAGTGGACTTTGATCCAGTAAAATTTTATATTGACAGTATTCAAGATTTCATATAGAATCTTTAAGCTATTGTTGGTTATGGGGAGTCTTACATACAGGTGATTGATATGAATAGATTTTGGCTGCTTTTTAAAGTGAACATTTTCCATTTATTGAATATATTGATTGATTGCTTTTATATTTCTCTTGCTTATTCTTTTTTTTTTTGTAATGTTATTAGATTATATCTGTTTACTTCATAGTATCTCTTGTAAGCTTTAAAAATTTCTGTTAAATTATTTTTGAATGTTTTATTCTATATCAAATAATTATTGAATTGATTAGTTTAGTTTAAATTATAAAATGTTATAAAATTATATTATAAAATAATATAAAATGTGTTTTTAGGCTGTTCGTAATTTAAATAATTTGGGTTGCCGATTTTACTTTTTGGATGGTCGTACAAAAGCCATTAATATACATCCTTCTGATACTGCAATGGATGCCATGCAACAATTAGCAATAAAGATTGGTTTAAGATCATTAGATGGTTGGGCATTATATGAGGTATTTTATTGATATGGTTGCTTAAATTACATTTGTTAATACAATTGTAATATTTACAATAAATTTATCTGATCTATAGTGTACACCAGAACAAGAACATGTAATAAAAGGATATGAATATATTGCAGATATTATATCACAATGGGAAATGTAAGTTAATTTTAATTTTAAAATTATTTTAAATATTTTTCTAATTTTGAGTAAAAATTTTAAATAAAAATAAAATGTATTTACAGGTGCCATCGTAGTTCAGCTACTTTTAGTAAATATTCTACACTTTCTAAAAAGGGTCCAACTTTAGCTCTAGGTGGAGGAGAATGTCATCTTTTATTTAGAAAAAGATTGTTTCGAAATCCAAGGGAGATTCCTCAAGATCCTGTTGAAGTTAATTTATTATTTGCCCAAGCTGTACATGGTGTTGTAAAGGTATTGAAAAAATCAAAAAAAACTTTAGAAAATAATGATTTTGATTACAAATGTTATTATTAATATTATTGTTGTTGTTACTGTTTTTAAATATTACAAAAAAATGGTCTGTCTTATACAATTAAAAGATAATGAAATTATATAATTATTACTATAATTTAAAAAAACTTTTAGCCATAAATTATATCTATAAACTATTACATAGAACTTCAGTTTTTGGGCTACAATTTTAAAATTGCAGACATAAATTTTCACTGGTGTCTGTCTATTCTTCCTTAATCTTGAGAACAGAGTTAAATAAATGGAAGTCAAGCCAGATATGGAAAGCTTAGGAGCCAGATGCCCCAATTAACTATATACAAATTTCTGATTTGGAGAGGTCATGTTATTTCAATTCAAAAATATTCTCCAGAACATAGGACATCATTTTAAAATTTGAAGTAATAGACCATGTTGCCATGAGTTGGATATCTGTTCTCATGAGATGTACCATGAAAGCTTATGGCTTGAATTAGAATAACACTTTTTTTTAAATTTAGTACAATAGATAGTGCTTCTATTTTGTTTATTAATTAATTTTTTTAAGTAAAATATAACGTATTTTAAAATAATGAATGATCATCAAACAAATGAGCCATCAGGAAATTCCCAATTTTTCAATGAACCATTATACTATTACAGAGTGATGACCTTACTGTGTTTAAGATTAGTTGAAAAGACCTGCAAAAACATTCATGAACATGTTATTGCACAAATTCAACATCCACAATGTTTTATGTGTCATATAATATTTGTTTTCTAGACATATACTACATATGTATGATTCACAAAAGCTACATGTGTTCCAATTTATGAGAAACAGGTTTTTAAATTCTCTGTCCTTGCATTGGATGGTGAGAAAGAAAATATATCAATCATACACATTACTGAATACAAAACATTTATGCTAGCTCTAACAAAGTATGTTTGTTCAGCACAATACAATATAGACCATATACACTATCTGGCCAAAAGTATCCGGACACCCAGTAGTACAAACTCGGAGAGTCCTGAGGCATATATTAATATGATGTTGGTCCTCCTTTTGCATCGATGACAGCCTGTACATGTCTGGGGAGACTTTCTACTAGTTTTTGATAGGTGGCCATTGGAATTGACTTCCAGCGTCCATCATGGCTGAGTGCTGGCAGTGAGGATGGTCGATGTGACTGACTACGTAATCTGTGTCCTAATTCATCCCAAAGGTGTTCTATGTGATTTAGATCTGGATTCTGAGAAGGCCAGTCCATTTTTGAACATCCATTTCATCAAACCATGCCTGCGCAAGTCTCGATGTGTGAATGGAGCAGTTATCCTGCTGGAAGAGAAATGGGCCTTCCCCAAAATATTTCCATAGAGTTGGGAGAGCAGCATTGTCCAGAATGTCCACATACATCTTAGAGTTCATGTTTCCAACCACAGGAACTAAGGGACCCAGGCCAAACCATGAAAAGCACCCCACACCATGATGCTGCCACCACCAAACTTTACAGTCAGCACAATACAGTCACGTAAAAAGTGCTCACCAAGCATTTGCCAAACCCAGACACGTCAATCGGACTGCCAGATTGTAAAGCGAGATTCATCACTCCAAAGAACACTTTTCCACATGTCCACAGTCTAATGACGGTGAGCTTTGCACCATTGCAATCGACGCTTCACATTCTGGGGAGTGATGTTCGGCTTGTGAGTGGCTGCATGACCATGGAATTTCAAGTTTTTTAACTCTCAACGAATCGTCCTGGTGCTAATACTAATGCCTAATGACCTTTGGAACTCCTGAGTGATTTCAACCAACAATAACATGCGACTTTGTTTCACTATCCTTTTCAGGGTTCTACGGCTGCGTTCACTCATTTTCTTCGGCCTGCCACATCGTTTTTTTCCACTTTCACTGCCTTGACGTTTCCACTTCACAATTACATCACTCACAGTGGATTTTGACTTCTGTACAATGTCTGAAGTTTCACGAACTGATTTCCCACAAAGGTGGAATCCCACTATAATGCCACAATCAAAGTCACTAAGCTCTTTTGACTTATTCATTGTCTCACAAATGCATAAATATGACCTCACAAAACACTACCAACACTTTCATACGTTTCAGTTACGCATCAAAGACCATCACCTGCCAGATCCACTTCTTTAGGAGTGTCCGGATACTTTTGGCCAGATAGTGTATATTATAACCATGTGATCAAAAAGTATTGAGAATGGTTCAATAAAATGCAAGATTTGAATTTATTTATTGAAATTTTATTTCATTTTCTTCAAAGTAATCCCCTCCCATTGCAATGCACTTATGCCAATATTTTTTCCAATCCTTGAAATATGCTTTAAAATTGATTTGTGAAACCCCTTCAGGACTTGCAGCAAATTTTGTTTTATGGCATCAATTGACTCAAAACAGTGACTCAAAACCATGAAATAGAAATTTTAGTCAAGGAAACAGGAAAATTAACATGGTACCATCTCAGGTAAATATGGAGCTTGCAGATTCATATTGAATTTTTGGCCAAAAATTCATGAACAACAAGAGCATTATGAGTAAGTGTATTATAGAGATGCAAAATCCATGCATTTTTTTTGCCACAAATCAGGAATTGCTTCATGTAAACAACACAAAATGCTCAAATAATATTCTTTGTTGACAGTTTTTCCAGTCAGAAGAAATTTGTGATGCACAACACCATTAGAATTGAAGAAAACAGTCAACACAAAACCTTGATTCTTGACTGACTTTGACATCTTTTCAGTCTCATTTCAAGTTCCATTCATTTGATTGTTCATTCATTAAAGTGTGGAACCATGTTTCATCACCTGTAATGATGCATTATAGAACAATTCACCTTGAGAAAGCATTTCCTTGGCCATTTGAACACTTTATTATTTTTGGAAAAAATTCAATGCTTCAGGATAACTTGAGAAGCAACTATCTGCAAGCCCAAATGATGTTTTAAAATTGCTTGACAAGATCCAAATGATATTGGAACTCGTTCAATAATGGTCCTAATTGTTAAACGATGATCATTGAGCACCAGATCTCTGACTTGAGTGATGTGTTGTTCATCAGTTGAAGTGGATGCTATCCAGAACATGGTTTATCTTCAACATGTTTTCTGCCTTCTTTGAACATCTTAAACTTAATCTAAAACATCTGAACTTAAAAACTTTTCTGTTGATAGACTATCATCACCAAAGGCTTTTTGTAACATTTCAAATGTTTTGTGGCAGTAATTATATTCCAAAAAACAAAATTTAATGCACATTCTTTGCTCAATTACACTCAACATTTTGAAAAATTGCCAGTGCAAAAATTCTTTACACATAAAACAAGCATTTATTTTTCAAACAAAAACAAATGATGATATATGGATTGCTGCTACATGTCAATGAAAGTCATACCAAACAATGACAATTATGTGCAATTTAAATGAACCACTTCCAATACTTTTTGATCACAGTAGTAGTTTATCAAATTTCAATGCATATGAGTTTGACATCCTCCTGTTTAAGTTTAAATGTAATGGAGCTATAGACTAGCTTGAAAACTGTTTTGTTTTTTCTCTTAACTTATTCTTGAGACATTGTTGATAAAACTGCTTCATCTGTCAACATCAGATTATTTTGTTTTCACAAGATGATATCCTGAAAAAATTCTATTTCAAAATTTAAAAAAGAAATAAAGAAATCAAAAAAATAAATTTTAGTAATTTTTAAAATTTTAATGCATTCTACTTTAATTTTACTTGTATTCTTTCTTATGATATCTAGAATGATTTAAATTGTATTACTTTTTGATTTTAAGAACATTTTGGATTGTAGAAAAATTCAGAAAATGTTTTGGATATTATAGAGAGAAAAATAAAAATTTACATTGGCCTTGGTAAACAATTGCATTTATTATCTAAAAAGTTTTATGAAATAAAAAATTTAAAGTTAAACATTTGGCATAGCCTATTTTCTTTTCATTTGAAACAGGATGTCATTGGCTTACTTATCAGCTGTATTAAAACTACTTTACCATTCAATGCATCCATAATAGTCGGCACATTGCTTGGCTATTAAATTATTTCAAATGAAAAAATATTTTTGTAATAATTTAGTTAGGAAATTATCATACAATCTGAAGTTTGTTATAAATAGATATGTCATTGGATGTTTATAGTTTTAATGATTAAATATGTAAAACATGAATTAATTTTATAAAATTTCAGTATATAAATAGCCTAAAGTAAGATTTAAATACATAACTGGTTGAATTATACTGAACATTAAATGTATTATTGGCTTTGTCATCCAAATACTTCAAATTGGACACCTGCAAAATTCATACAGCTAATTTGAACAAATATATAACCATGCTATGTTATTTATTGCCATACCAACTAGCAAAAGTTTTTATTCAGAGTTTATCAAACTTTGTAAAGGTCTTGCATAACATTCCTTTTCTACTGAATAAAATTAATTATAATTGAATTTTTTCTAAATAAATTTCTACCTACATTACAAATGATGTATATGTTTGTGTAAAATATAGTTTATTATAAAAATAGATATTTAAGTAATAGAATTATAGTAGAGAATGAAATGGAGTGAGTATTAACTTATATTTTAAAATTTTTATCTGATGTAAATTAGTCCCAAATTATCTCATAATGTAACATTCAAAAATTAATGAATATCAGAAAGATAATGATTCAATTTTCAATTGTAATTCAAAATGTATTTCAAATAATTAGATAAAATTGTTAGTAATACTAAAAAATGTGACTTTTTGTTTGTTTCTTAATATATGTTTTAGAATTCTTAATTATTGTGGTTTTACTATAAAGATTTTAATTATTTTACATTTTTCTTCTGCTTTAGCCTTTTTCCATTTCAATGGTTATCTTTGATCTCGTAGGAAAAAATAACACTTGAATCTTATTTTTTTATCTTTCCAGTCCTATCTTAATGTTTTTTCACTGCACCCTGCCATGTGTTTCAATGTCTCTTGTTTCTTTGTTCATATGACATTCATTTCAATATTTTGTTTGATATTTTCTTCCTATTCATTCATTTATTTTTGTTGCTTTGATAAAAGATTGAAGCATGTGATTTTAAGATGATAATTCTATTCCAATGTTTTTTCAGAAGTTAAATCTTAGTAAAAATTCATAGAAAGACTAAAATGTCTTCACTCTCACCATGTCCAATCAATTAAGTTAAAAGTTTCTTCAAAAAATTAAGATTTAAGATTTTTAATATTCATGTAACAGTTAATCAAAACTTTTTAGATAAATAGATTATTATTATTTTATAATTTATAATTAAGTTAATATAAATATTTTCTTTGTAATTTATTGTTGTACTGATATAACTAACTGCTATTACATTATTATTTTTTTAAATCTTTGTATTCTTTTACTATACATTATCATCATGTGCTGTCATTTTTTATTTTACAACTAGCAAATGAGCCCAGTGTAGCTTGGGCAAATGTTTTGGATGATTTGGTAAATATTGTACATTTGGAAATTAAGTTATTACTATCAAAAAAAAAAAAACTAGAATCTAAAATAGTACAGTAGAAGCCATTCTTCAGGTTAAGCCTTAATCCTCTCCCTCTCCCCCGCCAGGGAATTTCCAAAAATCCCTTCTTAGTGTGCATTCTCATTGAGTATCCTAACGTGATTTATGAAAGAAAGATCTTATATTTGAGTAGCCCTGTATACGAAATTTCACCTCTTTAGGATCAGCGGTTTGCTCTGGGTGATGATGAATCAATCAGTCAGTCAGGACATGTAATTTTGTATATTTAGATATCATATACTTACATAAAATATTATTAATTTATACTTTATTTGAAATAATTTTTTATACCAGAAATTATATTATATATACAGTAGAGCGTTGATTTTTCGAATTAATTGGGGACTGGGGTTGTCCGGATAACTGATATTTCGGATAACTGATTTATGTACGAAAAAATAGTTTAACGTATCCGATGTCGAAATTTTTCTCCATTGCGTGTTGCTTTGCGTTGAATTTTCGTCGATGTTAAGCCTAACAAAGACTATTGTATTGTTAAAAATTATTTTTTTATTTTGTACAAACAAAATAAATATATTGAAAAATATAAAAACAATAAAAAATTATACTTCAGATGTTAATTTAGTATCAAAAACGTAAAATATTTGAGTAGCCCAAGACATAGTCAAAGATTGAAGCGCCACAGCACTGGCGAAAATTTAAATTTGCCGACTGGAATTCTTTCGGATGATTGACGTTTTGGATGATTGACTTTCGGAAAATTGACGCTCTACTGTATTATTAAAAATTTTTTTTATTAATTTAAAATTTGAATAATCATATTTCATTCTATTCTTATTTTTTATGATTGCTAATTTGCTAGAATAATTTTTATTATATTTATAATAAGTTCAATTTATAATTGTTTTATTTAGGCTGATGAATTTCCAGTGAATGAACGTATTGCTTTACAATTAGCTGGTTTACAAGCACAAGTTTTATTAGGAGAACCACAAGAAGGAAGATTAGATAGGTAATTTTAACAAAATTTTAATGTATATGGATGTAATAATGTTAAATTAAAATAATTAAGCAGAAAGTTTTAATATTTATTGTTGATATTCTTAATTGATTTAAATGAATTCATAATAAATAGTAATAATTTCAAAATGTCATAACTTGAAGATACATTTTATGATTATACCTACTGATGAAATAAATTTAAATACGAAGTATTACAATCAAAAGATATGTTCATTACATTATTTCTTTCTTTCATAAATCAGGATATTAATATATGGGCTTATAAATATATGGATAATATTTTTTCAGTTAATTTAATCTGATTGTAAAAATATGGCTTTAACATGTATACTTTATATATTTATAAATGATAATTTTTTTAAACAGAAATTTTGTAATTTAGTAGATGACGAATTATAGAATTAGTTTTTTTTACATTTTTTACAAGTATTTGGATATGAATTATTAGATATTAATATATCTAAATTAGATGCTGCGCGTTTGTTTGGTCATAAACTTTTTCATATTAGTAAAATTAATTTTCCTCAATATGCAAGATGTTTCAAAAGGCCTTTAAAACTTTGAAAGCATATAGAATTTTAATTAAAAGATTTACAGATCTTTTGATTAAAATTCACCTTTAAATGTATTTTTTATTTATAATAGATACTCAGATGTAAATAATTATCTATGTGAAAGAATTCAGTTAGCAAGAAAAGATTGGCCAAAAGAAATATCTGAAGCTCATAAGGTTCGTATAAAAATTTTTAGTAAATTGCATTTATGTATGAAATTAAATAATTTTTAACTTATAATAATTTTTTAAATTTTAGTTTTATGGCAGTGGAAAATCAGAAGTTGTAGCCAAAGTATGGTATCTTTCAGTTGTTATGCAGTATCCACTCTACGGGACCACTCTTTTTTCTGTTATTTATAAAGGTTATCTTTCTTATGGTAAGTTTCAAAGATATCAGAAAATATAATTTTTGAATTCTAGTATATGTATGCATGCATGAATGCATTCATTTATATGTAGTAGAATTAAAAAAGTAACCAAATAGTTTGTAAAGGAGTCAATGTCCGACCATTATATTATGTTTTTGGGTGTTATTTTTAGTTAGTTATTTTCTTTTCGGGGGTCTTTTTATTTATTTAAGGACAAACTCCTAAGCACATGTGACAAAGTCAAAAAGGCAGAGATACTAATTTTGCATCAGTGACTGATCCCGTGACGCAAAATAATGTAAATTAGGGCAGTGCGGAGCTGTACTGAACATTGGATAAAAGATGGCACATCCAATACAGCTATGTGGTGTAGCTCCTGGTGACAAATGATGTAGACACATCTCTGGGAAGTGATTAGCGTAAGCTGTATACTTTGATGTATTTCTTTTTTTGAGGTGGAGGTGAGATTTTTGAATTTGTTATTATATGAAGTGAAATTTTCTTTGATTGATTGTTTATTCTTTTTGTTACTTATATGTGGTTTTATTATTATTATTGTTTGCTTTTGATTTAAAAGTCCAGGCCTGGTATTTGAACCCTAACATTGTGTAACCCCAGTTTTTTTTTTTTTTTTTTTGTATGTGGTGCATTACAAATTATTTGAGAATAACTTTGTTTTCTCAAATAACTATTATGACAATCCATTTTTTATGTAAAATAATGCAATATTGTGTAAAGAAATGATTAATCTTGCATATTTCAAAGATGGATTCAAGTTCATCAGAATAATGAATTGAAGATAATCTCCAGTTCATTATTCAATTGAGTGGCATTTTACAGAAATTGTTTTCACAGTTAGTTATTCAAAGTACTGATTTTTTTTCATTGACATCATTGAAACATCCTGCAACTAAACGGTCATCTGTTAGATATGATAGAGGATTTATTTCACAGAATTTCACTTAATAAGATAAATTTAAGGAATGATAAGTTAAAGAAGCTGGATTAAGATTTGCTTTATTGAGAGTGCTGGATACAGCATATTGGATCAATTAGAGAATAACAATCTTTTGAGTACTTTTCTGTTAATGGGACACCAGTCAATAAATTCAGTACAGTGTAAAGAAATGGTAATTTTATTATGTTATAATACAATTCAATACAATTCAAATGTTATAGTACATTTCAATAGAAATAAACTTGGATAGAAATATATGTGATGATAAACATCACAACAAAAAAGATGCAAAGCAGATTAAGAATTTAACAACTAAATTTTTTGACTTTGCTTTAATCCATCTTTGTGATTTTATTCAAGTTTTAATTATTTTATGGTTTATTAAATCTACTTGACTTTTATTACTCTCATGCTTTTCCATTATGTCAATAAGATGATGGCATCACGCATCGGATTACAATTACGACTGGCATCCTATTAACAGAAAAGTACCATCTTTTGAATATGTTGGCATAACTGAGGGAACTTTGAAAGATAAAATCTAGAAGCATGTTAGGAACATTACTAATGGAAAAGTTAATACTGTCTTGTTTCAAAAAGCATTCAGTAAAATTGCAAATATACTTTGAAACCAGATAGAAAGTTAGCTGAAGGTGAAAAGTTCAAGATGGTAAATCTCTGTGGATTTATTACAAATCTGGAACGAATCATTGTTAAAAATCAGAAATAGTGAAATAATGTCTTTTACAGACACTCCTCAACTTATGATGTTTTAACGTAAGATATTTCAACAAGATATTTCTCATATACAATGGCCAATGTGAGTGAAGCAGAAGTGCAAAAATTATTAGAATTTGAATTCAAGTAATTCATGCCTTGTAGCATCCCCAGTCTGGAAGATTGCTTCAGAAGAAGATATCAATAGCCCTGTTGCCATACCATCTCCTTCATCCAGTAACTAATATTCTACCATCTCCTTTAATTTTTTTAAGGTTTTATAATAAAATTTTATTGCATACTTTTCTGGTGGATTTTACAATATTTGAAAGATTATTGTAATTAGCATAATATATTTCTATACATTTTCTTTTGTTTCATTCATTCTTTCTTTTGTTCTTTTATGTAACTTTACTATACAATAAGCAACATTACATACTGTATAAGCTAGCATATAGCCTTTTTTTTATTTACAGTATTTAGTTTTATTTTCAAACTTGCAATATTTTTAACTTACAATGTGTTTTTCAGAACATAAACCCGTCATAAGTTAAGGAGAGACTGTACTTAGAAATGATTGATAAACAAGTTTAAGAAACTAATAATATTTCTGCTTTATTAATACAAAAGATGTTTGTTAACACTTTTAAATGCTTAAAAAAGTGTTTAATATATTTTAAATTATCTTAAGTAAGTTTAAATTATATTTGGTAATTCATACATCATATTTCCTCTATTCTGAAATGTAACATGAATTGTTTGGGATTGAGCTGTCACAGTGCATATTTTTCAACATCTCTTATATTTAAAATTTTGTAAAAAATTGAAAAAAGTTTTACTTTTCTGGCTTTTCAATCCAGACGACAAGCAGTTTACACTTTTTCATTGCACAAATGTTTTTTGAGAGAAAAATTCTGGAGTCTGAGAGATGCTGTATACACAATGTCCATTGTAGGAATTATTGTGTGCTTTCGCACTCAACATTTGTCACTAATGCTGACATGTATTTGTAGCTATGAATCTTTTTATATTTTTTTCAATATATTTTTAAGTTTTACATATAAATTCAATTAATTTTTCAATTTTCAATTAAGATATAATTTGAACACTATTAAATCACATATCAATATTGAATAAGTGCAAATTGACAGAATAGCAATTTAAAATAGATTTATTCTTACAAAAATACTATTCCTTATATTTTGTATCTATTCTTTGCTATTTCTCCATTATTGCACAACAAAAACTGGAAGTGCTGTGTGACAATGCAAACTGTTAAAATTGTAAAAATTTTGTTCATTAGATAACATTGTTAACAACACATTATGACAAATTAATTTATTTCATAAAATTCACATAACTTTTTAAGTTATAAAGCTGGCAATTTAGCAGTTGACACAATATGATCACTTGACAAATTTAGATAGACTATGCATTTTTTTTTTATTGCATTGCAAAGCAACTCTTGTCAGTTTTATTCTTATTTACTAAATTTAGTTGTAATTTGCTTAATAAGAAAAGAAATAAATAATCAAATACATATGCTTAATATTCTGTAGCTGTATTAAATTGTGTAGAAATAAAACAAATTGATTTTTAAAAAATTAGTTCTGATTTATGATTTAGTTATTAAGCCACTGATATCATAGCTGTAGTTATACCACTGATACCATTAGCATTTAATTAATAGCTTGAAATAAAACACTGAAATATGTAACATTTTCTATACACTCATTAATGTCAACTTTTGATGACAATTATTAAAAGTCGGCACTAAAGAATTACTCAAAAAATGTTTATTTAAGTAAGATTATATGACTAGTTACTTTTGGTTTCTATTGTATTAATTTTTTTTATCAACATTTAATTAATATTAATATTAATTTTATATACTTTTAGGTCATCAACTTGTTTTAGGAGTGAATGCTGAAGGAATATTAATGGTTAATCCAGGAGACAAAGCCATATTAAATGCTTATCGTTATTGTGATATAGACTCAGTCATGGTTGATCCTAGTGACGATTTAATAACAATTCATTTGATGAAATCTCTACCTGATACACATAAGTGCTTTATATTTGAAACTAAACAAAAACATGAATTAGCAAATCTTATTGCAAGTTACTCTCCTACACATGCAGGTTGGTTAAGGCCTACTTATGAAGTTGGAAGAAGGGTATGTATAATATANTAGGAAATTATCATACAATCTGAAGTTTGTTATAAATAGATATGTCATTGGATGTTTATAGTTTTAATGATTAAATATGTAAAACATGAATTAATTTTATAAAATTTCAGTATATAAATAGCCTAAAGTAAGATTTAAATACATAACTGGTTGAATTATACTGAACATTAAATGTATTATTGGCTTTGTCATCCAAATACTTCAAATTGGACACCTGCAAAATTCATACAGCTAATTTGAACAAATATATAACCATGCTATGTTATTTATTGCCATACCAACTAGCAAAAGTTTTTATTCAGAGTTTATCAAACTTTGTAAAGGTCTTGCATAACATTCCTTTTCTACTGAATAAAATTAATTATAATTGAATTTTTTCTAAATAAATTTCTACCTACATTACAAATGATGTATATGTTTGTGTAAAATATAGTTTATTATAAAAATAGATATTTAAGTAATAGAATTATAGTAGAGAATGAAATGGAGTGAGTATTAACTTATATTTTAAAATTTTTATCTGATGTAAATTAGTCCCAAATTATCTCATAATGTAACATTCAAAAATTAATGAATATCAGAAAGATAATGATTCAATTTTCAATTGTAATTCAAAATGTATTTCAAATAATTAGATAAAATTGTTAGTAATACTAAAAAATGTGACTTTTTGTTTGTTTCTTAATATATGTTTTAGAATTCTTAATTATTGTGGTTTTACTATAAAGATTTTAATTATTTTACATTTTTCTTCTGCTTTAGCCTTTTTCCATTTCAATGGTTATCTTTGATCTCGTAGGAAAAAATAACACTTGAATCTTATTTTTTTATCTTTCCAGTCCTATCTTAATGTTTTTTCACTGCACCCTGCCATGTGTTTCAATGTCTCTTGTTTCTTTGTTCATATGACATTCATTTCAATATTTTGTTTGATATTTTCTTCCTATTCATTCATTTATTTTTGTTGCTTTGATAAAAGATTGAAGCATGTGATTTTAAGATGATAATTCTATTCCAATGTTTTTTCAGAAGTTAAATCTTAGTAAAAATTCATAGAAAGACTAAAATGTCTTCACTCTCACCATGTCCAATCAATTAAGTTAAAAGTTTCTTCAAAAAATTAAGATTTAAGATTTTTAATATTCATGTAACAGTTAATCAAAACTTTTTAGATAAATAGATTATTATTATTTTATAATTTATAATTAAGTTAATATAAATATTTTCTTTGTAATTTATTGTTGTACTGATATAACTAACTGCTATTACATTATTATTTTTTTAAATCTTTGTATTCTTTTACTATACATTATCATCATGTGCTGTCATTTTTTATTTTACAACTAGCAAATGAGCCCAGTGTAGCTTGGGCAAATGTTTTGGATGATTTGGTAAATATTGTACATTTGGAAATTAAGTTATTACTATCAAAAAAAAAAAAACTAGAATCTAAAATAGTACAGTAGAAGCCATTCTTCAGGTTAAGCCTTAATCCTCTCCCTCTCCCCCGCCAGGGAATTTCCAAAAATCCCTTCTTAGTGTGCATTCTCATTGAGTATCCTAACGTGATTTATGAAAGAAAGATCTTATATTTGAGTAGCCCTGTATACGAAATTTCACCTCTTTAGGATCAGCGGTTTGCTCTGGGTGATGATGAATCAATCAGTCAGTCAGGACATGTAATTTTGTATATTTAGATATCATATACTTACATAAAATATTATTAATTTATACTTTATTTGAAATAATTTTTTATACCAGAAATTATATTATATATACAGTAGAGCGTTGATTTTTCGAATTAATTGGGGACTGGGGTTGTCCGGATAACTGATATTTCGGATAACTGATTTATGTACGAAAAAATAGTTTAACGTATCCGATGTCGAAATTTTTCTCCGTTGAGTGTCGCTTCGCATTGAATTTTCGTCGATGTTAAGTCTAACAAAGACTATTGTATCGTTAAAAATTATTTTTTTATTTTGTACAAACAAAATAAATATATTGAAAAATATAAAAACAATAAAA